AGTTGGTTTTCTTGTATTTTCCAGTAAAAGATTCAGTGTGGCACTTACTAAAACAAACAAAAAGCCATTATTTTACACTATTTTAGTAATGTAAAAACTATCATTTACAACAAATAGATCAAAAGATGCTCTTTTATAAACAAAATTCCCATCCCACAGACACAATGGTATGTACAATAACATCACACTTTGCCAAGAGATTCCAGTATAAGACACAGTAATTCAAAAGAAACAAGGTGTAAGTTTATTGGACGCCAACATTTCTTAGTCAAGATCTAAGTAAAGAAAACACACTGTAGAAAAAGTTGTACAAAGCAGCAATGGATTTACATTACATTAAAGAAAAAGTTACCCTAAGCTATTAAGTCTCAGTCCTAAAAAAAGTAAAAACCCATCCTTAATTAAAATTCGACACTGCTGTATTGAACTGATATACAATGACTATAAGGTATACAGGATTATAAAACCAGCTTCTTTTGTCTTACCTCTATAATCCTTTAAATGACAAGTTACTTTGTGTAACTAATTGGAAAATTCTATAGCAAATATATTGGATAATTCCAATTTCTAGAAACTGTAGGAAACTATTCCCCTGTACCCAAGCACTAAAAGTGATCCCATTTTCCTGCTTTTTAAAAAGGGACACTGTCAAGAATAAGCCTTAAAATGTGTACTTTGTATGTATTTTGCACATTACATTGCAAAAGATGATAGTTTGTTCTGGTTTTATGTACATACTTTACTTAAAGATGCTGCTGCAATAGTGGGAAGCTTGTCTTTAAAAGGTAATGTGTATCGCTAGAAACTAGAAAAGGAAAAATGGATTGAGTCCTTTATTCTGGAATAGTGAGAGAAAAAGCAGTACGAAAAATAAGCTCAGCCCACAGAATTCAGATACATTTTTCAGACATCCTTGCAACAATTGAGGATGCCCTTAATAGGCATTTTCATGCCCAAGCAGCTCAAGTGTTATGACTCAATTCATGGTTTTAAATTCTTTGATTTTATTAATATCAAGTATTCTTAATACAGCTAAGTACATTTACTGTATACAACCTTTCTCTTGATAGTGTCCCTTTATGTACAACAGTTATAGTACAGTTTTTCACAAGTAATTTTAAATAAACAAGAATCAATGACATTAAAAAATACTATCAGGCTGTGTTCAACAAAAACAAAAAAAAGATTTTAACACTGATTCATTAACAGCAACACTAAAAAAACCCCAAACCCTAAGCTTGCTTTGATTTTTATCTAAATCTTCTGGTAGGAAAATGTAAACAATTTTATTGAACAGTATAGGCACATGCCAGATTACAGGCTTATGCCATATATTCGCACCCTCACTGTTAGTGCCAAGAAGGTATGCATAGTCTGTCCTTATCCCATGTGAGGAACTTCTAGTTTTATCACTGGAAGCTCGGAACAAAAACAGAGTACATGTAGCTTCAGATCAAACCCGCATGCCCTACTTGGGGGAAAATAAACAAACAACATCAGACAAAAAATCTACTGGATGTCACTAGAAGGCCTGCCTAAATAGGAAATGCAGGAACAAGTCTCTTACAGCTCTGTTTTGGTTCACGGATAAGGCTACATCTCCATTCTGAAATACACAAGACAAGCTCTAATGTCACCTACTGCTTCAGCAGGTTATCCGCTCAATTAACTTCACAGGGTGTTTCACTCCCCTTAACAAAGAAAAGAAAAAAAAAAAAAAAAAAAGAAAAAGCACAGATACAAGAAGTAGAGACTGTATTATTACTGGTTCACATCCTTTGTTTTTGTAAAACTACAGAATTATACCCTAGCTGTATATGCAGTTTTTAGGCAGAGGAAAATTCATTTTAGCTTTAGGTTCTAGGACTTCAAAAAAAAAATCTGTATATATTTTTCTGCCATTGCTCACTTTCAATGGTTGATCATGGTCCCAATTTAGCAAAGAACTTAAGCACATGTTTAAAAAAAATTAAGACTGATCTCAATGGAACTTAACCATAAGCTTAGATGCTTTGCCAACACAGTGCCTGAAAGGAAAAGTCCCAAAACAAAATACATTTCATGGCTCAACCCTGCTCCTCTTAAATGCAATGGAAGTTTCCCATGTACTTCCACTGAAGCAGGATAGTTCTCTGAGATTTATCTGACAGATTATAAAAATAGAAAAAAAAGAAAGAATTAAAGATTCTAATCTATATATTAAAACATCTGCACATTCCTGTCACAAATTTTAAGAAAAAAAGCAAAACACTTTTTATATTTAACAAGACCTCTAACTTTGTGTCACTTTAGTACACAGCTAAAAAATTAAACAAAATATGATGAAGACAGGTTTTTGTATCAATAAATTTGCCTTTTATTTTGGCTGTGGTCAAACTAGACACTCTACAAAAGACCTTTATTTATAAACAAGCAACTAACATTTTCTCCATAATTTAACTTTCAAAACATATATTAAAGTTATATAAGTGGAAGCATATTTATTCCGTATCCTCCAAAATAAACACTTCTATCAAGGGCTTTTTAAGATCCTGTATAAAAGCTAATAGAAAACCAGAACTGCTCTATAAACATCTCATTTTTAAACTTCAGAGATCCTGAATTCCTTTACCAAATAGCAGGAACTGAATTTAAAAAAAAACACAGAACACGCTCAAAGTTAAAAACAAAACTCAAAAAAACAAACAAAAAAACCACCCCAACAACTAAAGAAAAACTTAGAAGGAGGCTATTTAGACCAAAAATATTTTATGGATTTTTTATAATACATAGTATACTAGGAAAAAGGTCAAGGTTTCTTCAAAGGTGTTGCACAAGCTTTTGATTTAAAGTGTGTGGAATTTATCATCATATCACATAACAGATTCCCAGTTGGAAGTTAGATGACTATGACATAGCTGAACTAGTTGCCATCTTCCTTTAGAATGCACGCTGATTTTTTAAAAGGCTACATATGAACTTTCAGACTGTTGTATAGAGGAATCATTGGTGAAAACCTAGGAACCATTTTACAAAAACATGTTCGCATTTTATACGCACAGATTTCTTAAATACATTTACAGGATACCTAGTGAAGCTTTATGTTTTTCTGATTTTATTAAACCAGGTTAACTGCAATCACCATTTTATTTTTAAATTGTTTCTGGTAAGAAAGAAATTTAGTCTTATTAGGTGGAATAAAAAAGTCAGTAACTAGAAATGTCACTATTAAACAAGTACCTTGTTTTAATTGCAATGTCACCGAAAGAGTTTAACTGATATTCCAACAAATTAGCATAATCATATTCAGATACAATTTGCCTGAAAGAGGACAAAAAAGGACAACATGTTACTATTAGAAGTGTTTAGTAACAACTTTAGATTTTAATCAAAAATGAAACAGAAGAGGCTTGAAACTAACATTGCAATTGTTCTGATAGCTGAAAAAAAGTCAGTGGTCCATCCTGAGGCAATTCTTTTAAACTTAACTTACGGGAAAGATAATTTAAAAAAAAAAAATAATCTGTTGGAAAAAAATGGTAGCACACTTGGGCTTTCACTGAGAAAAATCTGCTCCCGTGTGTGCGTAACTAAGGATGCCCATCCTCAGATTCTTAGGAGTTACACTTGTGCTTAATTTTGCTAAATCTTAGTGTCAGCTTGCAGTTTTTTTACTTTTCAGTTTGGGATGCTGAAAAAACCCTCATGGTTACATACACATTTTTTTTATTCCTGCTCCCCCTGAAACTCCAAACTCCTGTTGCTTTCAGCGAACACAGACTAGGCTCTGACTAGGTAGTGTGGAATGTAATCCCCCTCTCCCAACCCGCACAGGGTAAAGTTGGTCAGGATCATAAATACTGTTTGCATCATTTAAGTTCACTTTAATCCATCACCACTCCATTAAGTTTAAATTCTAGCAGAAGAAATTTTCACTGCTAGTTTACCACCTACTTCTGGGTAAATATTTCTTTTACTTAAAGAATAATTTGGACCCTTACTATAGCTTCTGGTAAATATCTACGATCCTACTTACACTAAATGCTCCAGTTCTGATTTGAGGTAAAATAATGGAACCGCACAGAGTATCTGCAGCCCATTATTACCACGATTTTCAACAAATTAGGAAATTGCAACACAGTATCACAAATTATAGAAAGCAGCAGAAAGAAATATTCTAGGCATTGTATTCATAAAATGCAGTGATTGTAGTGTGATGTTTTTTCCTCTGCTTTGAGCTGGATATGTACGCTTAATACAAATTTCAAATACATACTTCTTCATTTATACAGGTGTCTATATAAATATTTACATTTTTAGTTTTTGTTAAAACATATCTTTGTACTCATGGCCAAGCTTATTACTGGGTATAGAACACAACTCATCTTCTGTCCCTTAATGAGCTCTCTTTTTTTGATTTAATAGTTATACATTCCTTTGTAGTTAGAATTATGAACAGTTGTACAAATAGTGGAAACAAAATTATGAAACTTGTCTGATATCCATTCAATCTTAGTTCATATTATAAACAGTACCATTTGCATTATGATGGCTGTTAATACAATGACTTTAGCTACTGAAGTATCTATAGTAAGTTAGTCTTTGGGACATTATATAAAGCAAAGTACCCCCTCCCCCAATTTTCCTTAGAAACTTATAATTAAATGGCTGAAAGCAGACTTGCTGCTACTTTTTATATAAAATCTTAGTAATAATATTGCTGACTTTAGATTTTATTTTAATTTGCACAAGTTCCATATAACAACAAAACAATTCTATGTTCCCTTAAAATATCAAACATTCGTATCCAATAACATTAGGATTACTCAAACTTGAGGTTTATTTGTTATTGCTAAAGGTTTCTAAGACCTAAGTCAATACAGCCAGACACTCCATCCACTTCGTCCCTAACTGCAAGTCCATGGCAACTATTTATATGGAGCTTGTGTGTTGGTTTCTTAAAAAAAAAAAATTAATGAAGTTGGTTACAGTATTTCACTACTATAAACTCACAGTTAGAATCCAAATTGTTGTTGCTCTTTCATTTAATATATAACTTTATATATAATACACACGCACACACCAACATCACAGGATGAAGATCCATGCATACAATCCAGATGTGATCGTATTTCAGTGTTAAATGAAATAAAAATTATTCTGTTACTGTTAGATCCCAGACCACAGTATTTTAAGTTACTCTGCTTTCTACCTACTAACCAAGTTAATTTACCTTAATCTTCAAATCCAAGCAGCATCACAAATTCCAAATTTTTCATCATCATCATCGTTGTTGTTTTGATCCTCTTAGATTTCTAGTTTATATGGCATATATCTGAGATCCTGAACACAGCCTCCACTGAACCAGCTTTTTAAGGTATCTGTTAAAGCTAATTGTGTGTCTGTTCATGGCTCCAAAGACTAAAAGCTGTCTTGAAAGTCCTATGACAGAGTTTACACATGTATTGTCTTTTGAATGTGATTGCTGAGAGTGGTGGAGCGTGATAGAAGAGTGTATCTGACTCCTGTGGTACAAATAATTTTTCAGTAGTAGTGGAGCTTTCAGACAAGCCTGTTGGACTATCAGGCTCCAAAGGCTGGATTTTGGGGAGGGGTGGGGGTGGGGGTAAAGGTGGTGGTGATGGGGAATTAGCTGGTGGACATATCTCAGGCTCCTTATTTGTGGACTCCTCTGCAGCCTGTGACATATGAGACTGGAAGTGACTCCACAGACGGAAATTGGTTCGGAAGGCCTTGTTACACACGTGACAAATAAATGGCTTCACAGAGCATAAGAGCTCTTGGTGACGCTCCAGCTGTTTGCGTACAGTGAAAATCTTCCCACACTTTTCACAGGGCCACAAACCAGCATCTTTGTTGGAGACTACTTCCTTAGGTTCTCTGCTCGTTTCAGTGACCTCATCCTCTATATCATCTGCAGGCTCTTCTTTGATCTGAATTTTAAACTGCTTGGAAACACTTAAGTCTTCAGGTAGGCATGAGGAATCTTCAGAATCAAAATTTATTTGTTCTGACGAATCACTGAATACACCATCTTCCTTTGCAGCAACAAAATTGTTCATTTTATTGGATTCTGACTGAGGAGGCAATCTTGATGAACTAGTTATTTCTCCATTGTGATCCAGGATAGGTAAAGAAAAGTTCTCTGATGGAGCCATTGTGTTTTGATTGTGAACTTCAACTTGATGACGCCAAATACTAAAGGATGATTTAAAGGTACGCATACATTCAAGACAAGTAAGCTTCTTGTATTCACACTTGCTTTCATGCTCATGCTTCAGCTCTGGAGAAGAAAATCTAAGGCTGCAGTAAGGACAGACAGTAGCATTTCTACAGAGTCGCTCATGATTTCCCTGTTCAATAAGCGAAGAGAGCTTAGCATTGCAGAGACGGCACTGATAAACCTCTTTGTTTTCTACTGGACTTTCAATATGAATATGATCTTTCTGCTTAGGAGCCTTATTTCCTCCAATTGGTTTCTCCCCTGGGTGCATTTTTATGTGCTGTTTAAATTGCGAGAGGAAACGATAAGATTTCCCACAGTAGGTACAAATATAGGCTCCTTTGGTTCTCGATCTTAAATTCCTTTTGATGACTTGTTGTGCTTGTGAAGCAGACTGTCCCTGAAAACCTTGCTTGCCACGTCTTAGTTTAACTATTAGAGCTTTTTTAATTTCTCTCTCTCTCACAATATCGATCAGTTTTCTTTGGAATTTTTCATCCAAAACAGCATGTGAACTGGAAGCAGGTGAGGGATTCTTCACAATTCCATGTTGTGTCTGGCAGTGCGTCCACACTTTGAAATTTGTGTGAAATCTCTTGTGGCATATGTCACAAGCATAGGGCTTCTCTGGATTATGATACATGTTAACATGACGATGAAGACCTGCTGTTGATCTGAAAATTTTAAGGCAGTGCTTGCATTTAAATTTTTTATTTGGTCTTGCTTCTTCCATCTCACTGTATTCATCTTTACTGACATCAGAATCAGGAAAATCAGCATCAAGGTGCGTAGGGCTTGAGCCTTCCTCAAAGTTATCTTCTGACCCAGGAGAACCCTGCTCATCCACCTTCAGTTTCTTAAATGGTAGTCTTCTATCAGCTTGAAATCTCCTTTTTGCTGGAAGTCTACTTGGTTCCTTATGATCATCTTCAGTTTTAAAAGGAAAATCTTTATTTGTTGGTGCTGAAGCGTCACCCACTCAGCAGGATCTGAAAGTGGACTGCTAGGTTCAGTTTTTATTCGCACCTCTGTGAGAGGGGAAGCAACCTCCCTATCAGTTGACTGAGAGGCACTAAAAGACCTAAGGCGATGTGGGTGTATTACCTGTGGTTTTTCATCTAAGACTAACTTCTCCGATGACTCTTTCAAGGATGATTTTTGAGATACAACATTAAATGCCTTCTGGGAATCATTAGTTCCCGGTGAGGAGGAGGATGATACCTGTGAAGGTTTTAGGTCAACAGAAGGTGAGTAAATAGGAACCTGGCTGTCCATGGACAGTGACCTTCGAAGGAGACTTTTTACAAGTGGCCCACTTCTGTCAATACTTTGGTGTTCTGGACCAGATCCACTAGATGGGATTACTAGTCCTAACTTTGAGTAGTATAGCAAATTCCTGTCTTCACCTTGGCCATTTCCTTTTCCTGCCTCTCGCAACAAAAATGTAGATTCTGATGTGCCACGCAGAGACAAGACCGGTGGACGCGGTCTTTTTAATGACATCTCTGCAGCCTTTCCTCTTAAAAGCTGACCGCTGCTTCCTGGTTCATCGCTGGCAATTTCTTTCTCTGCTAAAGGCATTTGAGGCAGTACTGTGTTCCTTTTCACTAAACCACCTCTGCTCTGGTCCTCCACAGTTCCAGAAGTTTCATGAAGCTTGGTATAGCTCACAGGGCTTTCTTTCAGCCATCTCCTTTCAGTCAGTGATAAGTTGTGAAGGGTTTCAGTTGGTTTTGTTACTTGTGGTCTACTGCTAGTTTTGACAGCAACAGAGGGTGAAGGTTTAGAGGTATGGCTTAAATCATGTGTTTGATTTATACTTTTCGCTTGTGCTTCAATTCTGTTCTGACAGACAATGACACTTCTCTTCTGAGAACTACTTTCATCCTCATCTTGATACAGTATTTTCTTAATAGGGCAAGCTGGAAAAGGAGCTTGAGGACTCTTAGAAACAATGTTTGTAAGAAAGGATATTCCAAGACTGTAGCCCAGTTCTTGCACAGCTGCAAGACTGCCTTTCTCAATAAACAAGGATGAAGAATAAATGTAGTTTAACACATTATCAAAAGCATCTGGTTCACAAAAGTCGAGTTGAAACACTGACTGAGACTCATTCTCCTTATTTGTGAACAGAGTCTGGAAGTATTCACTGCTGGCAGCCAGAACATTTTTATGAGCTCGAAATTTCTGATCCCCTACTATAAGAACAACATCACACAGCTGTCCCTTTAGACGCTCCTCATTCAATGCACTTAGAAGTGAAATGGCATGTGCTGGATTTATGTAATGCAAGAGCCCCTCCATGATTCCGATGTTTCTGAAAAAGAACAACAACAAAAAAAAGTTGTAGGTTGCCTTATGTGAACTGTTGTTAGAGATAAAGTAAACACACCTAATTCCTCCGTTCTTTATAAACTGGCTAAACCACCATCACAGTGCTGAAGAAAACAGCTTGTTTGGAGGAAAGGTATGGGAATTAAAACAATACTGTTAGCTCCAACAGATGCACAGGCATGAGAAGAACCAGCTCACGTGCCCACTTTCAAATACACCGTTAAGAGCTGATCTTACACCAAGAATATTACACCTAACTAATTGCGGGGTGTGGAGGCTGTGTTCTCTTCCTGCAATACAGCTGTCCACATGAAGGAAGAGTTCAATCATTTAACTCTGGATCATCTTTTTCTCAGCTTTATGAAGATCTATCTTGACAACTGCATTGATAAACTCTTCAATCAGATATGTAAAGCTTAGTTATGCCAAGTCACCTTTCTGAGGCTAAGCAACCCTGACAGCCTCCTGCTGACTAAACAAATTAACGGGGTTTTGTTGTCATTTTTAATAGGATGATGGAAAGGGCATTAATACTGGGAAGGGAGAAGGAAGCAGGATTATTGTCTGTAATCTAGATTAATTCATCATGTTTGCTTATGTTTTATAAGTGTTGTTAATATATACTTCTAGCTATCAAATATGCATCACTTATAACTGCACTGACAGGATCTGGTTTCTTGGAAATTTCACAATTATAATTGAAGTATCCCTGCATTGCTTTCTTCTAGCTTAAAAGCAATCAAAGAACTGAACTCCCCATTTTATTCATTAGTATAAGAGCACTTTATGCCCACAACCCATATACTTGAGGAACAGTTATCCTCAGGTGCATCCCAGAGTACAATAAGCACAAATTAAACTGCAGTGCAGAAATCCCCATGTTCCATATGCTTCAAAACACAGCCCACTCCGTACTGCAGGATGTCTCAATAACTCAATAGACTGCTCCTGATTAGATCTTAACAAAAGAAGAAAATCAGGTTTTAGGTCAGTTTAAACAAAGACCTTCTATGGGCATGAACTGTAATTTATATGTCTGTGCACATGCATACACATAGAGAAATCAGCAATATCCAATTTTCTTTTTTTTTCATGGTCACTCTTACAATTCTGTTGAAGTTAACCTGTAAGAATTTTACACTACCTTCCTCTATGATGGTAGTAGTAAAACAAGTCAATGATGTGTCTGTTAAAAGCAATTATCTTCTTTTTACAGCTGAGTTGAGAAACTACTCTTTAGATATTTATACATGATGTATGCTACTACAACAAAAAGGTTTCACTACTCATCAGCTTACAAGGAAAACTGAAAAGTTTATCAAAATAAAAAACAATATAACCCCATAATTAATAAATGGGGGTGATAAATCTTACAACCAATGGATATAAGCAAGTGATCGAAGTCTGAATTGGTATTACTGAGAAATGCATCAAAGGGTGCTGCATACAGTGTCTCAGGGCATTGATCATATCATAGGACCGAGCTACCACTTCTACACCTGAAACTACCGAATGAGTTAATAGTGTCACGGCAACAGCAAAGGCAGAATTCTGTTTCCTCACCAGACCTGTCTCTTTATTGAGTGTTTCAGTGTCTCGCAGTGTTGTTTCACAGACACTAATTTATCCTTAATTCACCTCAGATAGTTATAATGCATAATCCTCCCCCTCCATCTAAAAAGAGCAGAGTAGTCAAGCTTCTATGAATTTGAGAAACCAATCTTTTTTGTTTTGCTTTGTATGTTTTGCTTAAAAGTACTGTCTGGCGGGGAGGGTACGCTACCTGTCTCCTTTGTGGATGCCACTGCAATTTACAGTGGTGGAGTCTGACTGGCCCTAACCCAGTCTCACGGTCTGAGCACCAATTAACACTTGGCGTGTTATTAGAACAAATGTTCCAGGAATGCATCTTTTCCTTTGGTTTCATCTGAAAGAAACTGAGTTTGCAAACTCAAGTGATCCATCTGGGATGCAAGCTGCAGCATGGTATATGGAGGTAACAGATCAACAGTGTGCTTATGAAGGAAACTTGAACTCAAACAGTATTGCAGAGACACCCAACAGAAGTTGCTGCAGAACCCATATTTCAAGGACACAGTGAGAAAGGGGTATATTAGTCAAATGCTTTGAAGTATTTTCAAATCTTTCACTTTAATCTACTTTACCCAGGCTTTGGGTCTTGTGTAAGACACTTGCAGAATAAACACCATGTAATTACTATGCATTCCTTTGTCCATCGTAACATAGTAATGCTATTAGTAGAGATGGATGTAAAATCTACGTGTCTAAAACAGAATCCAATTGTCACCCATCCTTCCTTCCACATTCTCCTTTTTTATTCATAGAGCACCTTCAATTTATTACATTAAACAAGACAGAGACAAGCATCCTATAACAATCCTCCCTTTCATTCTCAGAGCAAGGTCTCTCCTGTGCAGTGAAGGAGGCAGAGCTCTTTGGTGCAATGTAACTCTGTCACTTTAACAGTAACCAAGGCTGCAACATACACAAATGGCAAGGGACCAACTTAATCTTGCAAAGGCAGCTTTAATCCTGGTATTTCCTAATTCAAGTGCTTGACTTTCAGCTTAATAGCCTTTAAACACAACAGTCAGAAATAAAACAAGCTATGATACCTTAAGAAACAAAGCCAGAACTGGTTTGCAGAACCATTTTAACACATTTACACAGATCATCTGAAAGTCTGAAATACTTAAATGTAAAAAACGCCCAAAGATTATCAGAGTAAATGTACAATGTATTAAAATTTCACTGCATGAACACTTTTCAGTAACAAAGTTGATCCAAGAGATTCCTGCTCTCTTTTGGTCATCTTATCTGCACGCTGCAGTTCACTCCTCCTTCAGCTGTGCCAGTACAAATATTTGCAGGCCTGTATTACACAGCAGATCAGACAATAAATAAAAAACAAATATTATTTCTTTTCAAATGCTGGTCATTTTTTGTATTAAAGCACAATCTCAAGAATGAATGCATTGGCATAACTGAAGGGGCAGCAAACTGTGGCAGCAGAGCAGCTATAGGAAGGCAGGAACTCCTTACAACAGTTTGCCATCAAAGCCAATGCTTGGCTGACTGAACTCAGCCCCGACACAAAAGGTGTGCCTAGCTATTGTGTAGATAATAGAACTATGGCAGTCTCTTGTAATACTAGATTTGATTCCAGGTGTTTGAGGACTCATACTTCCTCAGCTGAAGATTATTTTGCCATTAACTACCTAAGCTCTTTCCTCCAGATAATCTGCTTCGATTCTTTCCAACCATTTTTTCCAGCCGTCTTCACTACTGACTGGAGACAAAGGTGTTTCCTCTTTTCTTTCATGATGTTCGGGTGACATCAAGGAAACAGTAGGAGCATATCAGAAAATCTCCCATTGTCTGTGTCCAGGTGTTACATGCTATAGCGGCTACTGGTCCTCAGGAGGAGCAAGACTCCAGACCCAGGAAGGGCAAGTGCAGCAGGAGGACCTGCAGCCTTCCTTCAGGAAGCCAGGAAGAGATTTTAGTGTCAATCTTCAACAGGCCTCTATTGATCTCAGCAAACTAAATTTCAGAGCCTTAAGTACCATATTTGGTACAAGATTTTTTGAACAAGGATAGAAAAAGACACCTCTACTATTTCAAAATTACTTTCTGCAAAAAGGAAATCTCTACTCGGGAAAGCTCTTTACAAGGAAAGGGTGAAAAAGCTTAATCTTTGACCCAGCAGTTTATTGATCTTCAACAGGTACCTGCCTTTGAAGTAGCAGTTCCCCTTCCTTTCCTCTGTCCCTTACTCCCAAATCTCCTCCTCCCAGCCCTGTGGTACCTTCCTCTTCCTTTCACCAGCTCTGCTGTTCATTTGACCTCCCAGTAAGTTGATTCAGCTCCCTAAAATGAAGCAGGAAACAAACAAACAAACAAAATCAGCCCAGCTTTTTATATCTGTTTGCTATAGGTTAGGAGCTTAATCAGCTCACTGAGAGGTCAGATGAGCCTCAGAGTTGCAGCAAGTGAAGCCATGAAACTACCCGTTCTTTGTCAGCAAGCTGTTCAATCAGCTCTGCCCATCTGAAACTTCACTTTCAGAAACAATGAAGTCACCGATGCCGAAACTTTACAAATAGAATCAGGCAGATATTTGTGTGAAAAGTTTCAGCATAACAGCTTACACTTGCAAATACACAAGCAACTAAAATAAGACGTTGATGTTGCCTGCTGACTTCCATTATAACAACATACTGTCAGCTGAAGCTATGTTAATAGCATGTTGGGGGTGGCAGTGGGAAAGGCGATGTTCTGAAACACCTAATGAGATGCAATGTTGCAGCAAGGAGGCGCCAGGGCTGTGAGAAACTGCAATTAGAAGCAGAGAATACAAGGAAGGAGGAGGAAACGCACACAGAGGAGACAGGTAGAGAGGGAGACTTAACAGGGGTTTGAACACGGAAAACATACGTAAGAAGTGTGATGGGGGCAAACCCACTAAAAAACCCAAAGAAACATGGATTATAAAACTCTGCCAAGAAATACAAGTGACTTCCTGGGGTAAATGCAGGTATGTTGCACTCAGTTGTGAGTGCTTTGCAGAGGATTTGATGGCTCTGATAATTCGTGTGCTGTTTCAGACACAAGGCTGGAAGAAAGTCCCATTACTCGCCAAGAGTCCAGATGCAAAAGAAACCTGCACTGCTTAAACTTCAACTCAAGGATCCTATGCTGGATTTTATTATTTGAGTTTGACAACAGTTTATCAAATGCCCCTTCTCCCATCAATAGCCTTTGCAACATAGATACTCTCCTACAGTCTATACATATATTTACACACACACCCCCCTACACACCCCCAAAAGCTATATGTAAAAGCTCCAAACCTGCAGAGCAAGATTGTTTGCATTTCTATAATCTTTTTCTAACTAAATATTTGAGTAATCTCTTGCTGCAAGTTCGGGGATTCTGTCTTCCTGGAT